ATTGTAAAATTACTGAAAAACTTGGTATACCACACAAATTATTACAATTCTAGTATAATTCTATGTGAGATAATGCCACCAAAATGCCTTAAAACTGTCCTATAAAATGTGAATTGCAAAGGGTCATTATGTTCAGAATTTTCAGAATACCAGTTGTTTGGAGGTTTGAATATCATACATGTTGAAACTGTAAAAAGCAGTCAAAGACATTAAGCACAGCTGATAGCAGTTTGAGAAAAGCTGTATCAATGGCCATGATGACCATTTTGCCAAATTTCCCACCATCTGAGCAGTTGATTGATTGGTTTATTGCTGTTTTATGACACAAGGGTCTCGTGGGCCATGCTGGACCAAACATATGGTAAAATGTCTAAATAAAAATAAAAAAATGGTACCATCTGAACAATTCTGATCTGACTGTGAGCAGGAGTTTGAGGCATTCGGGTGATCTGTTTGGGACATTCAGAACATGGGCACATTTGTGTGCCCATATTCTGAATGTCCCAAACACATCACCAAAAGAAATGATGGTATGTCATCAGACAAATATGAACAGCTTCAATGATATCTTTGTCCACCATCCATAGACAGGTGGAAATCTCACTACAGAAACCTGTCTTGGTACAAGAAAGTGACTAGCAGAAACAAATTTGCAAGCAACTGCTATGTGCCCTCCCACTGTTAGTACACCATCATCATCAACTTCATGCAGCGATCAATCCCAATTCTATTTGGAAATAAACAATCACCATGCTCAGGGTAAGGAGCTATTGGTTAGTGCTTAAATTCTACCTTACTGTTGAATGGTAAACTGCTCATATTGTTGTGCTGGCCACCTTGTGTAACAGACAGTCACATCTAGTACTGGTATGAGGGACACTGACTGTACAGCAGTAAGTTTAGGAAATCCTACGTTCTCGTGTGCAAAAAATTGGTCTTTGATGGCACGACTGCCGTCAAAGACCAATTTTTAGCAAATTTTCATTTTTGTGAAAACAGCAATTTTCCAGAAAAATAATGCTCAACCACACATCAATGGGGTCTCCATCATATTTCTTGGCTTGCTCATTGCTACATTTGTTGTCCATCGAACATTAGCAGATGAGCAGATGCCAGCTTCATCTATTTACAAGTATGAAATGTCTAGAGTAAAAGTTGTGACATCTATAGGCAAGTCTGTCACAGGATAGCACATAGTGTCTGTATGCCTCTATACAAACCATATCGTTGCATTTGTTCAGGCAACAGAAATTGTACATTTGCTATGACATTGTAGTCACTTTTTACCATCATAACTAATAAAAATTTACTCTAATAAATTTTCATTAAATTCTAATGCCAACTTCTTTGTGCATAAATTTGTTAACAAAATAAAATTTCCAACAACAAAACAAAAACAATTTTTAATTTTAATTTTGTCTTTCACTCCATGTAACCATTTATCCTTATTAGAATGCAACTTACTTGGCCATCGCGACTTATTTGCACTTTCCTATTTTCATTCCACGGATTTTGTAAATGTCTTGTATTTTGGAAAGGAATGTTTGCCCTATTGGATAAAAATTAATATTAAGTAATCTTGTAAAAAAAAACATTGAAATTTATCAAATTACCTCTTTATCCATTCTATTTGATAGCAATTTCCTAGATTAGGAGCATTAAATTCCTGAGGTCTATGCTCATACAAATTTGTTGTAAATCGTGCATAACCCTGAAAATGACCACTACCTTGAATGGAAAATATCAAAATTACTTCTTTTCCATCCTGAAACAAAAATGAAAAATTCTCACAATTAAAACATTACATTTTAAATTTCATATGCTGTTTCATATAATAACAAAATTTAATGTTTGGATTGCACTAAGCATGTGTTAAATACAGACGAAAAAACCTAATATGCTGTTTGACAGTTTATTACAATTACACAGTACAGATTAAAGTAAAAATTTTTCAAATAAAGCAGGGGAACCTCAAAGTCAAAACTCATTAATTCTATTTATTAAAACTGCATCAGTTGTGTTCTGTCAGGAACGACTGATTTTCATTTAAAATTAAGTAACCTATTGAAAGAAGTCATCTTCATTAATTTAAAACTTTTTAATTATTAAGAACAGTGTTCATCCAGACTTATTATAATAAATCAAATTATATTTTTTAATCATTTTAAAACTAAAACTAGATTTAAGACACTTTATTAATTTATATTATAAATTAAGTTGAAACAGACATACATAATCATATAATAGATATTTTTTCTTTAATTTTTGTGGTGTAAATTTTTTATATAAATATAAACAAGTCAAAGAATCAATACAAATAAATCTACATCCAATTTACCAGCATCGTAAAAGTAAAAATTCTATATTAGTGTTTACCTTTATGGCACATTGTAATTTACGTTCTGTCGAAGGAGTAAATGCCCAAACGCCTCTTGTTAGGGAAGTTTCGACCGTCCTCGAATTTGTGGCTTTGATAATATAATAACGTATATTACAGGTCGAAACATTTGTACCTTCCATTTTCTCACGAAACAGCATTCCACCACTGGAAACTGACGGAGCCGGGCTGATGCAAGGACTGATGGGGGTGCTGCCACTTCCGCTTCCGACGGAACAAACGGAAGACGAATCCGAACGTTCGTCGGATCCACGAGACTGACCTAAAATTCAATTATATAAATTATATAGTTTAATGAAATGTAAAATTTATATTTACAGCTCAATTTTAGCTAAAATTTAGAAAATTCATTTTTATTAATGCAATGAAAAATTAAAATAGAATTAAATTTTTAAATAATCTAAAAACTGATTATATTAATCTAAATTAATAATTTAGAATAACTTTCTAAATATAATGACATTTTCAATTTTTGCAATATTTCTCTAATAAACCAATCATTTGTCTGCCTATAATATTCCATATAATATTCAAAATAGATTAAAAACATTCTGTATAATGATGGGTCTAGTTAACTAGAAAAACTAACTAGTAGTTAAAATTGGTATGCCTTTTTTACTATTTAAACTTTAAAAAAAAATAATGAAAAAAGTAGTTAATTTAACTATTTATTGTAATTTGTATTATTTTTATTATTACTGAAAGATTTATTTTACTGATTAAAAACTTGGTAGGAAATCTTCCTACTAAATTGATAGTCAGTTAATCAAAAATCCTTACAAATATTTTAAATTTATTTTAAAGTGTGTTTAGATCTATTCATAAAAAACACTTTGTGACTGAAAATGCCACAGTCAAAAAGTAACATTTCACAGATGTGTAAATTACTTTGTTATTTTGCTTAAAATTTTAAAAGGCCATTTAGGAGATATTCAAAAATATGATTCTATGTCATTTGCTGGAAATATAGAACATACTGGATTCATTAATTTCTGCGAGAAGTTTTCACCATCTGTCCATCTACTAGATACATTTACAATTTCTGATAAACCAAATGAACTGCATACATTTGAAAAATATGAATAATTTAATTATTTCCATGAAAAATTATCAGACCAAGGAAGGTTTTGAAAATTTAATACAAACCTCAAAGGAATTGGTTATTGTGCTCAAAATACCTACTGAATTTGAACACTTAAATAACATATGACAAAAAAACAAAAACAAAGGTTTGCATAGGGGTGCTGAAGAAGCTAGTGCCACCACTGGCAACACTAGTCTAATAGTATCCTATAATCCCAGTGTTCAGAAAGGCATATGGTTGATTTTACTGTGTTAATTAGCCATATAGGTTTTATTACGTGAGTAGTAATGGTTTGACACATACTGATCACAAAATTAATTTTTCAATGTATTTTCAAATAAAAATTGAGTAGCACTGATAACAAAATTAATTTTTTGATCACAAAGACTTCTTAGGAAAAAGAAAGACAGACAGCTATCAGGCTTTAGTCAAGAACCTTCCGTAATTACAATAATTTGAATTGCAGAATGTCACTAAATATGCATTTTCTCCATTCACATCTTCACTTCTTCCCAGGAAACTTCCCAGGTACTCTCAATGATTAGCAAGGGGAAAGATTACATCAAGACATGCGATGTCTAGAAAAACTATACTAAGGAAGATAAGATACAGCTATGATGGAAGAGTATTGCAGGTTTTTACAAAAGGAAGACAACTACCCAACTCAAAAGGAAAAAGAAAATAGGTAAACAGCAGATGTTTTTGCTCTTTGATCTTGTTTTTGGAGTATTATAACTTTATTACTAATATGTTATTACAGAATGAAATTCAAGCTGTCATTACCTCCTAAATGAATCTACCTAAATGAATTCATTATACAGTAATACCTTGACTTATGCAAACCCGGAGTTACGCGATTTTACAATCTCGTCGATTCGTCTTTTGTTTGAGCGCCACGCAACTGTTGATTATTCACTCCCCCCACACTATTGTTCAGCTTACATGTTCGGACATGTCGTGCGGAATCGACACATAGCTACAATTTATTTTGTGTTATTTATTTCTGTGTTTGTTATATCTACGAGACTCGAGAGACTCTATGTGGTGATTTCTCGTAACCATGAACGAATCAAAAGACGAGATAAGATTAACGAGAACATTTATTAGCTTACATATGTCCGACTTGGATTTTACACAAATTGGGAAATTATACCCCGATTTACACAAATTCGACTTACACGGTTATCGCTCGGACCCACCTATCGCGTAAGTTCGGGGTATTACTGTATATAAATAAAGTTTGAAAATGCACAAACAAAAATTAAGGTAAACGCACCGGTAGTGGACACTTTAAGGAAAATTTTTCAACTTTTTTGAAACTGGACCCCTATTTGGAAGCCTTATGGCTTAAAAGTTATATTGTCTGTTAGACAAAATCTTTCTTCACTCACTGTAAGGATTTAATTATGTCAGTCTCGTCGAATACATTTTAATTTAATTTATTTTGTAAGGTTGAAAATGTTTCAGTAGTGGACATTGAAAAAATTAAGATATTTAGTAATGGACAGGCATTTGCACCAGTAGTGGACAAGGAATATAGAAATGATTATATTCAAGATGAAATCGTTTTTATTTTTCACAACTTGCAGAATTTGACAGTCTTTACTATAAAGAACAAGAACACTGTGTTAATTATAATGAAAACTCATAATTAAATTAAATTAATTAAAATATCAAATTGTACAAATGTAAATTACATGTGTATAGTTTGTAATGTTTATATGAAAATTGAACTAATAAGTATTATGAAACATAAATAAAGTTAGTATAAGAAACTTTCTTATTTTGTTATTGTTACATTATTCTTAACGAATACAAATGTTGAAATAAATGAGATCAGTTTTAACATACTGGAATGGATTATTGTTACACTCAATATTAAACACTTAAAAATAATAGTATAAAACTGGGTTCTAAGTTACATTTAGGAGAACTCAAATATTAACGTCAGCATAGTTTAAGGAAATATTGTTGCATTGTTAATTTGTGTTGAACTACTTATCTATGTCAATGCCTTTCGAGAATTGACAGTGACTCTCTCTTCCAAAAATTAGAGGCTTAGGAAGCCTCAAGTCAATTTGAGAAATATTTATCGTTTGTACATCTTTTTCATTTTTAGCAAATACGCTTTTCATCCTATTTATGGAATTAAACACAATCACTTCTGCGATATTATCACTGATTAAACTGGTAATTTTGCACACACATTTGTACTTTCTTTTCTTACCAGACAAGGTGGCAACTACAAAATCATTCTCATGCAGGATGTTTGATTCCCTTTCCTTTTCAATGGTATTCCGACTGTGTCTTTCGGACATATCCTTCCTCCGAGTCCAATTTAAAGTCCCTTCAATACTTTCTCCCCTTTCTTCTGTATCTTTCGATTCCTTAATTGCTGAACTTGGTCCAATAGTTTCGTTTGAAGGGGGTTCAATATTTTCCTGAAACTGCATAATGTCGTCTTCTTCTTCTTCATCTTCCATAGTGTCTTCTACATCTAACGTAACATCGTTTGTACTACTACCATCCGAGGGAATCCAAGAACCTTCATCTTCTGATGATGTCTCTTCCTTTCTCATTTTCTTCTTTCGTTGCTTTGTAGTCTTCATTTTCATTTTCATAGCTTTCTCTTCAGCTTTCCTTTTATTCTCAGCAGTCTGTTCTTCCTTCTTTCTCTGTCTTGCCAAAGCTCTCTCCCTTTTCAGTTCTAGTTCCACTATTTTCTTCTTTTCCTTATTTTCATAATATTCCTGCCAAGCTTTTGACGTAACTACAGAAGGTATGATTTCCTTTTTCTTCCTTTTGTTAGTGATTTCCCTGGGTTCTGGCCAGAGAAGTGACCTTTTGAAAGGACTAGGTACTGTTTCAGAGATCTGACTGTTATTGCGGCTATTGTGTGTACTTGTGGCAACAATGGTATTGCCAGTGTTTGAAGTACTAGGTCTTTCATTTTGATAGTGGTAGTCATTATGAATATCATGAATATATGAATGGATCCTTAAAGTCCATGCCTGAGTTAACCGCATGTTTTGTCCACTATTGAAACACCTCATTTCAATAAACGGACATTCACGGTTTAATAGTGAACACCCCTGTCCATGACTAGACAGAGTAACCAAAAAATGCTTGAATCAATACTGTATGTTACTTAACATTAGGTGATTTAATTTTTGACTTGATACTGATTAAAAAGTGAAAAGTTCATTTTCACTAGTTGTGGCCACCTCTTGTCCACTACTAAAAATATACGATATTTTTGTTTCATTAGTGGACATCTCATTCAATTGACTTGGAAAATAAAAATACTATCAGGAAGGTCTTAAAACATACCAACGAAGCTCATATTAATAGTATATCACCAAAAAACTTTCGTGAAACTAACTGTTAATACAGCAAGCGTGATTTCACTTACCTAGACCTTAAGGAAACAGACAGCAGACTCACTTGTCTTCTTATATCAACAGGAATGCCATCACTAATGAGTGCGGGAAAACATCCCATGATGCACTAGAAAAGGATCAGTGCGAGTTACCACCACTAGAGGGTTCTGTCTACTGAATGATTTGTATGTTTGAACAGTGAAGCCATCAACAACCTTATTACTCATATTTGAAGTTCAAAGTGTCCACTACTAACGCAGTGTCCACTACCGGTGCGTTTACCTTACTAGTATTACTGGGATAAACTGTGTAATTGAAAAATTTCAAGTCATCAAACAAAAATTGGTATGTGCTATACACTTTCAAAATCCTATGTGAAATCAGCATCCCAAAATTAGTAAAAAATATCAAAACATATTCATGTAGTAAAAAAAAACATGTTGCCATTTGTTATTAGTATTGAGAAATATACAATTATTAAAGAATGTAAATACATTATAAAGTATTTTCTATTCTAAAAAAAGTTTCTCATTATATTGAGTTTATTTATTACCTTGATTTCCAAAACTGTTCACTCCTAAATTAGGACTAGAAGATAATTGTGGACCTAAACTAACAGGAGGACAAAAATCATTTGCCATTGGCCGAGGACGCTGTCCGATTCCTGCTGGTTGTTGTATTCCTAATGCTTGTTCTTCTGCAGTCAAAACCCCAACAACAGCTCTTACAACGGCTTCATCAACTTGTGACCATGGTTTGGCTGGTGCATGCATTCTGCGTAAGAAAAGAGCATGCCACTTTTGACGAAGATGAAGAGTTAAACGTGCAGCCTTAATAAATAATAAGATTCAATTAAAAAACTTATAAAAACTTTTTTAATACAGAAATATGAATTTAAACAATGTTATAATGGCAATTCTTCTAAATATGTATTGTGCATATTTTGATGTAATCAACTACAAGAAAATTGTAAGTGTGCTATATTATTGTCAGGCTTTTTTAGAATATTGTAATATAATTTTTTAATTGTTATATACATTGTTTTAGATCATCGTTGTGATAAACCTGCTGAAGAGAGACATAATGGTCTGAAACACGAATATCGTGAGTATTATATGTACAGGAAAAACAATAAGTGAAAAATAAAAATATATTTTTTCTGATTAAGAACTCCTTTTGCAAATAACTGACACACCACACTATAATTGTCCTAATAATATAAGTCCCAAGTCGACAATAATATAATAAAGTAAAATACAAGGACATAAAGGCAACTATTAATAAATTGTGATTTGATACTTTACTGAATAGTAAAAAATGTAACCAAATAACTTAAAAAGGTATCACAAAAAATGAATTTATACCTATAATTACAGTCAAGGTTTAATCTAGCATCATACATTATACACACATTTTGTTGTTTTTCATTGATAAACTGGACCATCAAAAATGATAACAACTCTAGAAATAATTGATCAAATGCATGATGTTGTTTTGAGCATCCAAAGACTGAACACTGAGGGGATGGCTAAGATCACAGTCATATTGACCAAACACATACATCACATTTTTCAAACAAATTGGGCATGTCTAAGCTGTCAGCAAGATGGGTACCATGCTTACTGAATGCTGATCAAAAACATGAAAGAGCACACATGCCCAATAAAAATTTAAAGCTGTTTAACAAGGACCAAGTAAACTTTTAGTATCATTCTGTTATACTTGATGAAACTTGGCTTTACCACTTTATTTCAGGATCTAAATGGTAATCTCAAAAATAGGGGCATTGTGGCAGTATTCCACCAAAGAAGGCCAAGTCATTTCCATCAGCCAGGAAGGTAATGACAATGACTTTTTAGGATTCAAAGGGGATACTTCTCAATAATTACTTTACAAAGGGCCAAACTATTAACAGACCATATGCTGCTCTTTTGAACCAATTTAAAGCAGCAGTTACTGAAAAAAATCTGAAATGGCTAAAAAGAAAAAGAAAAGCTATTCCATTATGTTAATGTGTCTTCTCATACAACTCATTGTTTGAGAGAAATTGGGTCAATTGCAATTCCAAGTTTTCTCCCACTCACCGTACATACCAGATCTAGTGTCACGTGACTTTCACCTGTTCCCCAAGCTCAAACTTTTCCTTGCTGGTAAGAAATTGGATAAAGAAGTTATTGCTGCAACAGAGCAGTATTTTGACAACCATGAATCTGATCATTACAGAAAAGGCATAATGGTACTTCAGCACCACTAGTCCAAGTGTGTTGAATTACAAGGGGAATATGTTGGAAAAAAAAACACTAACTCATGTTTTTCATTTCAAGTCTAATGTCCCATAAAATTATCCTTGTATTTGCAGGAAAATGGGGGAATAAACTTACTTCTGGTTCAACTCTAAATGATATCCAATCATCCAGTTTAAACATAGCTGTTTTTTGTCCATCATTCTTTTCTTCTACTTCACTATCACTATCTTCAGTGTATCCTTCCAGACGACCTTCAGAATAAAAACAGAAGGTCCACATCAAGTAAACAAATATATATGAGATGCAGCTATTAAATAACAAGACTGACCCTGTAAAACATTTTATTTTGATTTCATACATATTTACTTATTATCACCTTCAATATACACCCCTCCTCTATATCTACAATGCTCCATGCAAATCTTCCATTGTTCAAAACAGTGCTGGAAGTCTTCTTCTGTCAGCTTCTTCAGGACATATGCCACTTTCTCTTTCACAGCTTCAACAGACTCAAATCTTGTTCCTTTTCATGCAGATTTCACCTTAGGAAACAGACAGAAGTCACACGGTGCAAGATCTGGCAAATAAGGCAGATGGTATAACACTGGGATGCTGTACTTGGCTAGAAACCTCTTGACAGACAATGCAGAATGAGCTGGTGCATTGTCTTGGTGGAAAACCCATGACTTGTCCTTCCACAATTCGAGTTGTTTTTTCTTTATTCTTTCATGGAGTTCGGCAAGAACGTGAAGGTAGTAATGTTGATTAATAGTTTGACCTTCAGGAACCCAGTGAAGGTACACAATCCCACGAATATAAAAAAAAAAACAATCATCATTGCTTTGAATTATGATTTGCTCATTCAAGCTTTTTGGCTCTCGGTTAAGTTTCAGTAGTGATTTTTCCAAATTTCATGAGAAATTTCACAATTCGTTGCTCTATTGTTACACTTAACATTTTTCTGGCAAAACAAAAAAAGGCTACATGGATTTGTTTATAGAAGTGAGAGGTACTGCATTCAAAAGAGAAGGCTTCACACTAAACAGCTGTTGGTCGCTGGTGTTGATGCATGTGTACTTCTTCTGTAGCAGCGTCAGTCTCGTTATTTAATAGCCACACCTCGTATAAATATAAAGTTATAATAAAGTATAAATTATATCTATGTATATTTATAAATATAATTATATAATTTAAATATTTTGTGTTGTTTTTATAACCAAATTGATGTAAAATAAAAAAACCAATGAGGGACATGTAGCCCAAAATGCATATACTCCATAATTAAAAAAGCCCGTATATCTATCTCTGTTGTGAATTCTTGTGTGATTTGTTCTCTCAAGCAGTCTTATGCTTACTTCTAACAAAACAATAAAGCTTATTTTTTTTTGGTGGTATGGGAGTCAAAGTCCATTACTGCTTAAGTTAAGCATTAAGAGACTTTGACCCCCTTATCACCAAAAACAGCCCAATCCCCTTCTTACTTTGTTGCATGTCCCATGGGCTTTTGCCCACTTATACTCAATACAGACTATTCATAACAAAAATTTTGATAATAATAAATTTTAATGAAAAAAAAATTTTTTTATAAAACTTTTTTCCTAACATCATTTTTAATTTCACTTTCACTTTGAATTATTTATTGGCTTTTGATCTATATCTTGACAGAACTAAGTGTAACTGTCCATGACTAAACAATTGCCTATGTATATTCCAAGATAATCAAAATCTTCATAACAGCGGAAAAACAAATTTTTACTATTATAGATATTGACAGTCCCTGTTCTTGTAATATTTATCATTTTCTTTCCTACATTCTTTTAAACTTTCTGTGGATGTTTATGCTGGAGATTTTGATGTTAAAGGACTTTTGTCATCATTCAAACTATGATTTTACTTCTTTCCTTTAATTTTATGTGAAGGCATTAGTAAAATTTGATTCTAACTCATAGCGAAGATTTTGTGATAGCAACTAAGGGCTTATACACGTGATTAAAAAATTTTTAAACTAGACCAATTCTATTCAATAGAGAATTAGTATGTTTCAAACCCCAAGGATGAGCACAGCACTGAAAGCACTCAATATATAGGAAACAATATATTTTGAAGAGTCCCCTCTAAATGAAGGAGTTATGTTGTATGATGACTATTCAAATAGTAATATAGAATGATTATACTTCAGTTTTTAAATATCCAACAACAAAAAAATCTAAACTATAATAAGTAATAAATTAAATTTTATCTAAAATTTAATCTGAAAATTTCTTACTATGATCTGGTTCATGAAGAGCATCCAATGGTAGTCTTGCTGGTCCTGCAAATAAAGCAACTGTAATAGGAGAAACCAATGTGCAGCATTCTGCTTGAGCAATATGACCAGTTCTTGTCATTTCTTCATATATTAACCAATCACAAGGAAGTGAAGATACTACTTTAGCATGTACATCTGCAACAGTTTGTTTACTTGATGTGGGCCTTCTATTTAACACAGATGATGGATGAAAACGTACTTTACTTTCTTTTCTGTAATAATAAATTATAAATTTAAAATGTTTAAATAATAGTATATTATTATTTAAAACCTTATATTTCCATAATATTTTAGCATAATTATAAATCAAATGTATTTGAATTCATTAAACAGAACATGCTCAGCAAATAATTAAATTATCTTAACGCACCTTTTATCTCGCTGAAATAGTTTTATTGCAAACTAACATTTTTTGGTCTATTCTATAGGCCAGTGTTCCGCAACCGGTGTGCTGCGGCACACTGGTTGC